GAAATGGTACAAATAGCAATGTGAATGGGGAAGCACCATACAGTTTTTTCTATAGGGGTGGGACTTAGAAATTGGTCACAACTGCTGCTATATGCTGTAAATGGTCGGATTCCATCAGGGACGGAAACCGGAAATGATAAGAAGATGGAACGCATGTTGCATTCCAATGACCTATACCGCCGGAACCTGGAAGCGATTTAGAATCATTTCGAGTGAAACAGGAAACGGAAGGACGCAATGAGGGTATTGGCAGGTTGCGTTCCAACACCAAGCAGCCGAAACCCAGAAGTGAAATTATGTCGGGAATGAGGAACCCAGAAGTTAGAGCATATTAAACTATTTTAACAAGTTTAGAAAGGAGGAGAGACATTATCAACCAACTGAGGAAGCCCATATAATGGCGAAACGTGTTTTGGACATTCTATTTGGACATTTGTTCTTAGTATTTATATTTATCCTATATTAATTTTATTATGTTTTAGTTTCTATGTATCAGGGATTACCAATAAAGGTTTACTATTTATGAGACCTTGGCTGTGGTACCCTATATTCACATTGGAAGTACTGGATGACCAGCACCACTTTCAGAGGAACCAGGTGTCCAGCAGAACCGTGAGCAAAAGAAAGAATTGGGCATCCTAAAAATTGTCCACAAGCTTTTGCCATTCGAGTCATATGTGATTTATGACTCCTGACTTGTGAGTGAGACCATATATGCTTGCTTATAACCCATTTCTGTGATAGCAATATTGCACTATTTGTGTTTTGTATTTATATTTCTGCAGACACTCATTGTACGTTTATACAAGAAGCTCCATCTAAAGTATGTATGTTTTTTATGTATCTTGTAGAGGTGGTCTAGGGAATACCACTCAAGGTATTTGAGCTTCACTCTGTTCACTCCATATTGTGTATTTATCTATCTATCTATATTGTATCTATTATCTATTTATTTTATTATTATACGCTATCATTAAAGGGATACTCCAACATTTTGGTTTCCTCTCTTTTTTAGTTGGGACCGCTCTTTTGGTTTCTTTTAAATCTATCTAATTTCCTTACTTCATAGGTAAATCTCCATTGCCCTGACTCCGCCGTCCCACCAGTGATGTCACTATGGCAAGAAGTGTATTGCTTGTACGGCATGGGGTGTAGTCATTGTTTGTTGGATATAGAGAGAATATTCACTTTTCTGTTCAATCAAAGCCAGCAGTCAGCAGTAGATATTGATCAGAACAAAATTCCTTCTCGGCCTTGATGAGATACAAAAGATCAGACCAGCTGTATGTACATAGGTCTGAGAATCTGTCCACAAACTTCAACCCTGCTCAAAGGTTGCACTGAACTTAGCAAGCTATTGCAAATAAGAAAATTGGCTTGTAACAGGAATTGAAAGTATTATTGAAAGTGATTAACTTGTAGTTACCAGCATGCACTGGGTTTATTTGCATATCGGTCTTTTTATTATCAGATACTTCAGTTCTTATCAATGAGCAGCCTAAAAAAACTACTACTTATTAAATTTTGATACTTTATTATAGCACTTAAATAACATTAGAAGAGTAAATAAGGGATGCAAATAACATTAAAGAATGTGTATACATGTCCTATTAGAAAGTAGCCTTAAGTAAAAGAAAATCAGTTATTTGAGGTTTATATACTTCTCAAAACATTACTCTTATTTGCCTGAATGATCCTCAGTGGTCTGGGGTGCAGGCTTCAAACCTGTAGCTGTCTAGGGACAGAGTGGTTCAATTCCACCTTTCAGGCGAAATTCATGTTTGGTTACTTTTTATCAACATGGGCATCAAGTGATGCAAAGGGGTTTTAATTATAAAACAGACAGTCTAGAGGTAAAGCTATATTCCTGGCACTGTAGCTCCCTCTACCTTCCCCGTTCCTCGCGCCTACCTTGCTGCATTTATTTACTTACCAGATCCCAGCACCGAGGACCATACAACGTCCATTGATGCACTAGGCCTCCCATAGGAAAGCATTGAATCATTGCTTTCCTATGGGAAAATAGCTGACGCTGGATGTCCTCATGCAGAGTGTGAGGATGTCCAGCGTCAGTTACCATTAGCAGCCAGGAAAAGCCTCCAGTGGCTGTTTAGTAGACAGCCACTGGAGGTAGACGTAGTGCTGCAATGTAAACATTAGAGTTTTTCTGGAATTGCAATGTTAACATTGCACCACTAAGTGCAATAGGGAGACTGTACCCAGACCACTTCAATGAGCTGAAGTGTTCTGGGTGCCTATAATGTCCCTTTAAGTGCACCCACACTTATTATATATAATTTTGAGAAATAGGGCTTGCCTTTCACGTCAAATATTTATATATGAAATATAATTTTAAATAAATAAATTCTAAAAATATAACAATAAAACTGTTAATGTCATAATACTGTTAGCTTTTACTGCAATAAAATATACATATTTTGTATTCAACGATGTCTCTTGGGTACAACAGTACCCCCCATATACAGGTTTTATGGATTTTTGGAAACTTACAGGATCAAATATAGTACTTTCTCCTTTCCAGTTTTTCACATTGAAATTTTCCAGACTGGTTATGTTGTCTTTGAGACGGTATAGCTGCCCAGGAATGAAAACTAATCCCATCGTGGCATATCATTTGCAAAAGTAGACAACCCAATGTATTCAAAATGGTCTATGTTCAGTCTTTTTTAGTAGCCACTTAGTCACAAGCCCTGGTCAGAATTAGTGTTCATATTTTTATTTTTTTTGCATTTTTCACAAATTGCATTTTCACTGATTATATCATCGTGATATCTTTTACTATTTTGAAACACTCAAATATATTCAGCAAAGTCTCCAGAGTACAACAGTACCCCTGCCCAAGTTTTATGGTGTCTTAGGAAGTTACAGCGGTAAATATAGGGCTTACAATTACATGCTCTGGACTTTCTTCCTGGGTTGTCAGGCAGGTCCCTCAAATCGCATATTTTAATCTCAAAATACTGTTAGAATGAAATTACACACACATAGATATATAATTAAAGTGGACATCAAGTGACACAAAGGGGTTTTATTTACTAAACTGACAGACATATTCACTAAATGATAGCATGTTTTAGTTCACATTTAAAAAATGAGACAAAAATGTGCACTATAGTCACAACTACAACTACAGTTTAATGTAGTTGTTCTGGTAAGTATAGTCTGTCCCTGCAGCCTTTTTGCAGTAAACACTGTCTTTTCAGAGAAAGTGCGGTGTTTCCATTACAGCTTAAAGACACCTCCAATGTCCACTACTCAGATGGCTGCTAGAGGTGCTTCCTGGGGCAATGCTGCACAGTTTGCAGCACTGACATTCAGAGTCTCCACCCTGCATGGAAATGCTGAATTTTCCTTTTAGAGATGCATTGATTCAATGCATCTCTATGAGGAAATGCTGACTGGCTAAGCCAGTGTTTGGCCCCACCCTTGCCCTGCCTCCTTGATGATATCAGCCAATTCAATGCTTTTCCTTTTTCCTATAAGATCATTGTGGAGAAACCACTGCCTGTTCTTGAAACTCCCGTCTCTTTTACATGAATTTCCCTGTATGTTCGTTTATTGTGCCCGCTCCCCGTTTGGGAGTGCTTCCACAAAGGGAATTCATTCACCTCCCAAACAGGGACCACCCCAATACCTCCTTTAGAATGTTAGGTTAGAATGTTCACACCTTGCAACATAAGTGTCAAAACCGCAAACCGCAAGGGAAACAATTAGTGAGTGCTTCCCTTGTTGGCTGCCATTCGTAAAGACAAACGCCACCAGGGGGAGCATTCGTGCATTGTTTCCCGACTCATTCATCTCCCGAACGAGGACCTCCCTGGTGCCCCATTAGAACGTTCACACCAATTAATCAGAACGTTCGCACTCGTAACAAAGGTGTGAAACTGCAAGGGAAGTAATTAATGAGTGCTCCCCTGGGTGGCCGCCATTCGTATAGACGAACGCCAACCAGGGTGAGCATTTGTACCCTGAAAGGAGAAGCCTCCCTTGTCTGGGTTTCACACCAGGACCTCGTGAACGGAGACTAGTTGATCGAGGGACTGAGGTGAGGGTCCCGGAGATTGGTGTGGGCACTTTTGGGGCACTGGCGCGTTTTGCGTGCTCTCCTGAGCCTGAGGGACAAAGAGACCAGCTCTTTTCCTGCGGGTGGGCTTTTCTGTGCCTGGGAGACAAAGGGACAGTCCCTTTTTCCTGCGCCTAGACTCACACAGATGCTCTTGGGAAGAAGACCCCTGGTGGATGGTGTGGGGGACCCTGTGGATTTAGTGGCAGGTTTTGGGGACAAAGGGAATGGAGTTCCTTCCTGCGCTTGGACTCCAGGGAGGGGGAGGATCTCAGGATGGGGCCCTGTATGATTGTGTGGTAGATCCCTTGCACGGGGTTATGCCTAAAATCCGTGTGTGGCCAATAAAGTGTTGTTGTACCTCCAGGACTGTGTGTCATCCAGTTACTGGAGGGGAAATGGGTCCTCTTACTATCTAACTGTTCCTGACCGGGTGAAGTCCGGTTGGGTTACCCGTGGTCCACTGCAATCAGCAATTCTAAATAGATGTCAGCCAAGGAGGCCAATCAAGAGCATGACTGGAAGCTTTATTACCTTCTAAGGGAGTTAGGGGGGACAAGCAGGGCTGGTGCATCCTATAGGCTAAGTAGGTGGCCGCCTAGGGCGCCTCTTAATGGGGGGCACCGGCAGTGGCTTTACTGCTTGTCTGGCTGCCCCCCTATCAAGCAGAATTGAACAAATAGAGCTGGGCACTAGGGAGCACTTACTTGTAGACTAGAGCCCGGTAGAACGTCGGTCCGACATTCACCACAGCCTGCAAAGTCAGGACCCCTCTCCCATTGTGAGGCCATAGACCATCCCCAGGATACCGCCAAGGCTGCGACAACAATCTCCTCTGGCACTGCCGATCCAACTGCTGGAACAGAACCATCTGTCCAGCCCCTCTTATGGCTCAAAACCTCTCACCAAGTCTCCATTAGGCTATCACCACATCCTCATTGTGAGGCCATAGACCATCCCAGTAGCAATCCACAGCCAAGGCTGCGACAATGATCTTGTCCAGCACTGCCGTCTTTGTGACCTGCCGTTTCTGAAAGAGAAAAACCAGCAGAACATGGAAGTATCACCCCAACACCACAAGCCCCATAAACCACAACACTAGGGAGGGAGGGACAACAACATGAGGGGACAGTTGCAAAACTAAAATGGCTGAAGTGTAACTATTACACCAGCCTATACATGCCCTCTGCCTCCTGTGCCTCTCCCCCTTTCTATATCCACCAATCTGTACAGCCTTGCTCAGCACAAAACTGTCAAGGCCCTCCTCCGCCTATTTGTCTCCATTGGGCTCCAGTTCCCTGTTTTGTCAAAGGGCAGTCTAAGCATCGTAACAATTACAGCACATTGCAATGACCATGGTGCCACCAGTCCACCAGCACCAACAGTGCAAGAAAGCAAAACTGTTTCACACGTCCTTGGTCCTAGGCCACTTCCAATCCTGCCCCCAACTTAGATATCACCAAAGCAGAAGTCTCCCACCCACTTTAGATAGAATCCATGTCACTAATGTAAAAGAAGGATATTCTTCTAAAGACTGAGCATCCGTTGGGGTAAGGGAAATGTGGCATTATTAGTGTTGGACGTGGTGGCACTATTAAATGTCAGAGTCTCTTGCTATGCTTCTGCTACTTCCTTAGAGAGAGGGTGCAACCCATTATTGTATTTATAGACCAGGGCATTGGGGGTAAACTAAGGGGACTTATATGACATTAGGATCTGAAAGATCTGAAGATAAACTGTGTAAGCTTTCAGTCTACATAAATTGCAGAATGTTTTAAACCAAAGATAGGTTTACGCAATCAAGGTTTTCACTAAATTTGGAATCAAAGGTAAAAATAGTCAAACTGGTAGCAAGGATGACTTGGAGAATGTTTCCACATCGGCTATTTTGACCTTAAACTAGAAATTTACTTTGACTTCATTTTGAATCCTGGACAATTCTAACTTTCGAGAATACCTCTGTTTGTTAGGGATAAACTATAGTTCTGGTAACACAGCATTAAAGGGAAAGTCATTTTTAGAACATGGAATATAAAGCATCGTTTGACACCTACCGTGTGTGCATTCTGCAAAGATCATGAGTTTCAATTAAATAATTCATTTTCATATTTTAGGCCAAAACAGTTATATTGGAAACATTCACCTAATTAGCTTATTCTGTACCTTGTCTATTTTGAAGACAAATGTAAAATTTCGGTGTCAAATTCCACGTCTGGTGAAACGTCAACATTAACAATTTATCCTAGAGTCACTGTGAATTCTGTGCGTTGTAGCTCTGTAACAGTCAGGTTTGGACTAGCTAAGATCAGAGATGTGCCAGGTATTTATAGGCTAGGTCAGTGACATCATAATAACAGCATGTCATCACTGATGATGTGTGTGACTAAAGGAACACCACTGATGGCATCCAGGTATAGACAGTTATTATGTAAGGTGTTAAAGCAGCACTTTTACCGTCTGGGGACTTTACAGAATTTGCCAAGACAGAAAACGTACCACTGGGGGTGTTAGAGGCAGGGAAGCAGACAAAGGTGAGTTTTACTTATCTGAACCTGTCCATTCTGGGTGGGTCGCTTTCAGCTTCTTGCTCTTCAGCGCCGGAAACTGACATCACTGCTGAATTCACTCATATATGCTCGAGAGTATAGCATGGAGGTCTATAGAGGATCCCTGATGATGCCTGGGGGATTGACATTTCAAGATGGCGGTAGCTCAGCTCAGTGTCTAGAAGCGACAGGCGTAAGAAACATACAAAGACAAAGTTTCTTTCTAAGGATTCTTTGAAAGTATCGCTGTAAGGCACTGTTTTATTATAGCAAGGTGATGCTTTATGGAAAATTTGTTCTAGCTTCATATCACATAAAAAGCTAATTTTCACCAACTGTTTAACCCTATAGTCTGCAAAGCTGAGTGCTCTGCCCCTTCAATTAGGAAGCATTGGGCTGAATGTCCATAGGCTGAGAGTGTCGGCTGATTCTGTCAGCCTATCAGTAGGCCCCCACTTTTAAAAAAGTGAGAGAAATAAATAATGGGGATGTTCTCAGTCTATCGCCGACGGCATCCTTATTGAAGTGGCAGAATGTTTGTGTGCAGGTTTACAGACTTTTGGTTAAATTTCTTTAATGGTTTCACTTGTAAGACAGGCAAGACAGTGCCTGGGACCTCCTTGCACCATAACAACTTAATTGCAATGAATGCTTGTAGTGTTCCACTTGCCTCAGTGTCCCTTTTAGTATCAGTAGAGGTCAGTAAGGTCTGTGATTGTGATATTAAAATAATAATTCCCGAAACCCAGAACATTTCATTTTAGATGAGCAGATTATAGTGTATCCCATCCCCCACGCTCTGGAAGAGTTGGCACGCAGGTCTTATTTCTCGATGCTTTCTGTTCTCAATGACTGGTGCGCAGACAGACCTGCTGTCACTTGCAGAAACCTCATAGATACAGTCACACCCATATTATCTGATATTTCTTCATTCCCATGTTCAGCTCATTGGCTTGCAAAGTACTGCCACTTTGTATTGATGTCATACCAACTGATCTCCTTCAGGAAACTAATGATTGAATTAAAGTCCAAATAGCAAAAATTTAGTCTTAAATAGCCAAGTTGGAGAACAGCCAAAATGGAGAATATTTCCAGATCCGCTATTTTACCTACATTTTGCCATTTGTCTTCAATTTGCTACTATTCAAAGTTTAGTGAATACGTCAGTAAGTGTTATTGTGGTGGAATCTCGGTAAAAATAAATTTAGTAGGCCAAGATTACCACGTGGCATGTGTACGTGCATATGCTGACGTATCGATCAGTTGGTTGCACGAGGCAAGATACGATCAGTAGTGTACGGAGCATGTGCAAGAATACAGGATGTAGTATTCCCCTCCTCCATTGTGCTGGACAAGCCATGCGGTCAAGCAGGAAGTTAATTCTTATTTGTAATGATTGGTCAAGAGAATGTGCGGGTGGAGCTTAATATGGGAGGAGTTATGTGCCTATATAGGGAGCCTGCACTATTGTTCAGGGCTCAGAACTTGCTGTATTTTTGGTGACATTAGTCCCTCTGAGTCCCGATCGGTGATCCAATAAAGAATCTCTTCCTTCCTGAAGAAACCTGTGTCCATCCCTCTGTGCTTTGCTTCCGTCAGTTTCTCCGGTATCATTTGGTGCATTGGCCGGGAAGCTCATCGTTCAACGGTAGCTGAGAGGCAGAGGCGTGAGACGGTCTATCTTTGCCCACGTTCTCTACGGCTGCACCCCTGAACTTCTGCGTGGACCTCCCTTCGTCTCGGCGCCACTGGTCTGTTGTCCAGGAGATCATCGGCCTCTACGTAAGAAGTGCTGGGGTGTCCCCGTCGATGAGTGTGAACTCAGGTTCAGGAGCGAGGAGGTAAGACAACTGCTGTTTTAGACGGCAGACCCACTAGGGGTATACCGATTGTGCGGTAGGCCCAAAAGGGGTTTAAATCTGTGTATGGAATCTGCCCCCTCTGTCGGAGGGAAGGAGCGAAGGCGCACCGCTCGATCGAACGCTCTTTAGTAAGGCCGTTTGATCTGGTTAGTCAGGCGGGGTCCTGTGTAAATAGCCCTAGCCGGACACCGGTGTCTTGTCTAGACTAGCGTTCTAGGGTGTATATTACGTTCGCTAGGTCGGAGGGACCGGGAGACTAAGCGGCGCCTGTGTAAATTCGGTTCGCTAGCTCTCAACCTATCTTGGCTAAGTGGGAAGGCGTGTAAATTTGGAACCCACTAGACTTTTGATAGAGTAAATAGACTAGAAGGGCAATTTTGTAAATTTCGCCCTCTAGTTCGCTATATGTGGTGTTTGGGCAGTGTGGCTAACCAAAGCGGGTGTATATAGTTTTAGGTAGTCCATTCAAGGTACTGGCCAATAGTTTAGTTGGGATTGTAAATGTGTTAAAGATTGTTAGTAAAGTGTATATCTTGTTAGATAGCGCGAGCTCAGCCGTCTAGCGAGAGTGTTAATAGTGTGTTGCTGTATCATAGTGCACGGTACCATAACCCTGTATATTTACTGACACTGTATATAAGTACTAATCATTGTCGTCTATTGCATGTTTAACACCGTAACCACTAATAATTGTATTGTGACCTTAAATTGTGCTTTGACCTATGCTAACCGTACTGTAACCGATACTAGTAAAAGACGATGTTACTGGGGTGTGTTATAGGCGGGTAATTCATATATAGAGAATTATAGCGTGGGTGACTGTATAGTTTCGCCAAAGGGCATAATATTGATTATTTAGTGACTGGTGTAACAGCTGTGTGTGTACGGGAATTCCCTGAGTGATTATTGTGTTATTGTGTACGTTTCACTCGGTAACTGTACCACGTGGTGCTGTTGCCAGAGGAAACGGGTGTGACTGTTGAATAAGAACGCGTGCATAGTATTCGTTGTCAACGACGTTCCATTGATAAGTATGGGCGCGTCAGAGTCAACGATTTCGGATCCCTTAGGTTGTATGGTAAAGAATTTTAAAAAGGGATTCAAAACATGTGATTTTGGGGTTAAAATGTCTCCTGTACGTTTGGTCACTTTGTGCACTAGGGAGTGGCCTATTTTGGTTGCGGCATGGCCGCCGCGTGGCAGTTTGGATCCAACCCTGGTACAGCGTGTACACGTGGCTGTGTCAGGTAGGCCTGAACTTTACGGACAGTTTCCATACATTGATTGTTGGGGGCAGGCCGTAAACGACTCGCCAAAATGGATCCGGATATGCCACGAGGAGCAATGTCGCCTCATGGTGGCCAGGACTTGTTTGTCCACTAGGACTGGTGTTAGGCCCATTTTGGACACGCCCCCTGAGTCCGAGATCCCTTTGCCGCCTCCTTACTTTCCTTTAAGAGGAAGTGACGCGAATGCAGGAAGCTCTGCACCCCTTCCCCTATTGCCCCCATCCACTTCCGCTTCCTCCTCCAGTACAGAATCCACCCCCCTCGTATTAAAACTCCCCTTCCGGAACCAGGACCAACCCCCATTAGATTTGAATATCCTGATTTGGCGCCACTTCAAACTTCCGGTCAAGCTTCTTCTAGCTCGGCTCGGAGTATACTATTCACTAACTTTTCCCAAAATCAAGTTCCCACATCCTCATGCCCTATTACCTCTCGACCGGAACCTTTAACTGACGCCCCTCCACGTAGCCCCATACTAACCCGACAACTGACCGGTACCCAACAATTAAAACATTATCAGATGCCTCTTCGTCTGAATCCTGGGTCAGCCTATATCGATGCCGCAGGTCAAATGGCACATGCTGACCCAGTCTTCGTATATGTCCCGTTCACGACTACCGATCTCTTGAATTGGAAGACCCACAATTCCTCGTACACTGAGAAACCACAAGCTATGACCGATCTGTTCACCTCGATAGTTCAGACACATAACCCGACATGGGCTGATTGCCAGCAGTTATTAATGACATTGTTCAATAATGAGGAAAGGACAAGGATTAACCAAGCGGCCATTAAGGCGCTAGAGGAGAGAGCCCGTGCTTTAAATCAAGCCAATCCGGCAGCATGGGCCGCAACACATTACCCTAACACCGATCCTGACTGGAATGTAAATGGCGCAGATATGGCTCAACTTAAAGCCTATAGAGATGCTATAATTGCTGGCATGAAAGCCGGAGGGAAGAAAGCTATTAACATGTCGAAGACAGTTGAGGTGATTCAGAAAAGTGATGAAGCGCCCAGTGTCTTTTATGACCGATTATTGGAGGCATACCGCTTGTATACCCCCTTTAATCCGGAAGACGCTGATAATTCCCGAATGGTAAACTCCGCCTTTGTCAGCCAAGCTTACGGAGATATTAAGCGCAAGCTACAGAAATTAGAAGGGTTTGCAGGTATGTCTATCACCCAACTAATGGAGGTAGCGAACAAAGTATATATGAATAGGGAAACAGAAAGTAAGAAAGAGGAAGAGCGCAAGATGCGTAGAAAGGCAGATATGCTAGCGGTAGCGATCGCAGGCGTAGATAGACGGGGCCCAGATAGAGGCGATGGTAGATGGAATAGGGAGCCTTTGAGTAGGAATCAGTGCGCGTACTGTAAGGAAGAAGGGCATTGGAGGAACGAGTGTCCGCAAAGAGAGCAGTATGAGAGAGACTTACCCAGGGCAGGTTACGGAAACTTTAGAGGCAGAGCGAGAGGTAGAGGAGGCCCCGGAGGGAGTAATGGTAATAGAGGGAGTAATGGGAACAGAGGAAGTGTAAGGGAAGATAGGTACTATCCAGCAGCGCAAAGGTCCCGCGATAGAGAAGGTAGGGACTTTGTGGGATTGGCTGACACGGTCATGGAGGACTATTGATACCGACCGGGCTCCATCCCCCTTGGTCGAGCGGAGCCTATGGTCGATGTATCAATAGGGGGAAAAAGGAGTGCGTTCATGATCGACACTGGTGCTGAACATTCGGTGGTGACTAATCAAGTTGCTCCTCCATCTGGAAGAACTATTACTGTAATAGGAGCAACTGGAAGAAGTGCTGAAAAACCGGTTCTTAAAAGTCGACTCTGTACATTGGGAGGCCACGTAGTAAAACATCAATTCCTTTATATGCCTGAGTGTCCAGTCCAATTGCTGGGGCGTGATATGCTATCCAAATTACAAGCGCAGATTACGTTCCTACCAAATGGAACAACATCCTTAAAGTTTAATGGACCCTCAGGTATTATGACATTGTCCGTACCAAAGGAAGAAGAGTGGCGACTTTATACAGTGTTGACTAGCCAAAACCCGAGGAGTGATGAATCCTTATTTAACATACCAGGAGTTTGGGCAGAGAACAACCCACCAGGACTGGCCCGCAATATTCCACCTATTAAAATCGAACTAAAACTTGGGGTTTATCCAGTAAGCCTGAGACAATATCATATTCCGCAGAAGGCTAAGAAGAACATCCAATCTTATCTGGATAAGTTCATACGGTATGGTATCCTAAAATTCTGTACTTCCCCCTGGAACACCCCATTGCTGCCTGTTCAAAAGCCCGGTACAGATGAGTATCGACCTGTGCAGGACTTGAGAGCAGTCAATGATGCGGTTGTTAGTATACATCCAGTCGTGCCCAATCCATATAACCTGCTTGCTTTAATTCCGGGCGGGGCTACTTACTTTACAGTCTTAGATCTCAAAGATGCCTTCTTTTGCCTCCGAATTGCCGCAGAAAGCCAATGTATCTTCGCTTTCCAATGGGAAAATGCTGTAACGGGCTCGAAACGCCAAATGACCTGGACAAGATTGCCCCAGGGGTTTAAAAATTCACCTACCCTATTTGGTTCAGCTCTAAGTCAAGATCTACTAGATTTCGAGTCTATCCCAGGAGAGTGTGTATTATTACAATATGTAGATGACTTGTTGATAGCAGCAGTTACAAAGGAAGTATGTCAGCAAGCAACGCACGATCTACTACACATTCTCTGGAAGGCAGGATACAAGGTGTCAAGAAGGAAGGCTCAGTTGTGTTTGCCAACTGTCAAATATCTGGGATTCCATATCTCTGAAGGTCAAAGAATTATGGGGCCAGAGAGAAAAGAAGCTGTGTGCCAAATACCGATACCCAGGAATAGAAGACAAGTGCGAGAATTCTTGGGGCAGCAGGCTTCTGTAGGATATGGATTCCCAGCTACGCGATACTGGCAAAACCTCTGTATGCAGCTATCAAAGGTACAGAGCACGACCCCTTCTTATGGACTCAAGAACAGCAAGCGGCATTCGAAGATGTGAAGAGGGCTTTGATGAGTGCCCCAGCATTAGGTCTACCTGACCACACACGGCCATTCTACCTGTATGTACATGAGCAAAGAAGAATGGCTGTGGGAGTATTGACACAGTACTTGGGATCATGGCAAAGACCTGTTGCCTACATGTCTAAGCAACTGGATGCAGTGGCCAGCGGACTTCCACCTTGTCTAAGAGCTGTAGCTGCAGCCGCCCTGCTAGTAGCTGAAGCCGATAAACTCACTCTGGGTCAAGAACTTTATGTACGAGTTCCACATGCAGTACAGACGTTGTTGGATTACAAAGGAAATCATTGGTTTAGTAACAGCCGTATGACCAAGTATCAAGCAATGTTGTGTGAAAACCCAAGAGTGCATTTAGAGACTGTAAATACCTTAAATCCAGCTACCCTTTTGCCACAACCTACTGAAAGTCAACATGATTGTTTGGAAGTAATGGATGAAGTATTTTCAAGTAGACCAGATCTTCGTGATTTTCCCATCCAGAACCCTGATGTTCAATATTACACCGACGGCAGTAGTTATGTAAAAGAAGGGATCCGCTATGCAGGATATGCAGTAACAACGATAGACAAGGTGATAGAAGCTCGGCCACTGGCAAAAGGAACATCAGCACAAAAGGCAGAATTGATAGCACTGACACGAGCGTTACAATTGGCTGAAGGTTTAAGAGTGAACATCTACACGGACTCCAAGTATGCGTTTTTAACCACTCATGCCCACGGAGCTTTGTATAAAGAAAGAGGACTATTGAATTCAGAAGGCAAAGAAATCAAATACGCAGCTGAGATCCTACAACTATTGGAAGCAGTGTGGGAGCCGAAAGAAGTCGGTATTATACATTGTCGGGCGCATCTGAGAGGAGATGGTGATGTAACCAAAGGGAATCGGATGGCAGATAGTGCAGCTAAGCGTGCTGCTGAATCAGGAAGACAGGAATATGTGGGGCATATGGCTGCTCTTATACCAACTCCACTGTCTCAATGGACTCCAATTTATACAGCTCAAGAAGAGGAGTGGTTAAGGACTGAACCTGGAAAGTATTTGGAGAACAAATGGTATCAGTTAGAAGATGGAAGAATAGTTATTCCAGCATCACTAGCGGTAGAAATTGTCCAAAACTATCATAACGGGACACATTCTGGGAGAGACAGTACAGAAGAATCTCTCAGAAAACATTTCTACATACCAAGATTGTCCAACTTGACTCAGGCCATTGTACGTAGATGTGTAACGTGTGCTAAAAATAATGCAAGACAAGGACCAGTAAAGCCACCAGGAGTCCAGTTTATGGGGGACTTCCCATGTCCGATTTACAAATTGACTATACAGTGATGCCTAAATCGGGTGGACATCGCTACCTGCTGGTAGTGGTGTGCACCTATTCAGGCTGGGTAGAAGCATGTCCTACTCGTACAGAGAAAGCAGGAGAAGTCGTGAGATTCCTGCTACGAGAAATAATACCCGATATGGACTACCCTGCTCTATAGGATCGGACAATGGTCCAGCTTTTGTTCATCAGTGCCTACAACAATTGACTCATATGCTTGGTATAAAGTGGAGGCTTCATACGGCATATAGACCCCAGAGTTCTGGTAAGGTAGAGAGAATGAATAGAACTATTAAGAATCAGTTGGCTAAAATGTGTCAGGAAACCCAACTTAAGTGGAACGTTCTCTTGCCCATAGCTCTATTGCGAATCCGTGGTACACCTACCAGAAGGATGGGCCTCTCTCCTTTTGAAATCATGTACGGGCGACCACCTCCCGTGCTTGGTAACTTAAGGGGGGATTTGAGTCAGTTGGGAGAAGGAATTACCCGGCAGCAGGTTGTAGAGTTGGGTAAGACTATGGAGGAGGTACAGAAATGGGTACAAGATAGATTACCTGTGAATATTTATCCCCCAATTCATAGTTACCACCCAGGCGACCAAGTGTGGATTAAAGAGTGGAATAATGTGCCGTTAGGGCCCAAGTGGAGAGGTCCTTATGTTGTTCTTCTGTCTACCCTACAGCGATAAAAGTAGCCGAAGTGGCTCCGTGGATACATCACTCCAGGGTTAAACCAGCAGCAGCCGATTCCTGGCAAGTTACAGCAAATCCAGAGAATCCCTGCAAGATCCGGTTAAAACGCATGACTCAGTCGGAGTGACAAGGAACCTTGTAGATTACAAATTTTATTGTTTCAGAGACTTGGTAAGTGAGTGAGAAGGCCATAATAAAGCCTGTCCACTCACCAACGAGTGTATAAGTCAGGGAAAGTCTTGAGGGGACCCCTGTGAAGGCGAGCAGAACTCCATTCCCTGCAGTCCTTACATCCTGGAAGCTGAGGTGCCTTCACACGGACGAAGACTGAGGATGACGACGAAAGATGTATTTTTAATAATGTTTATTTATGTGTATTTTTATATTCAGGAAGGTAGAGGTACCAACACTCCTAGCTGTGAGGTATGCATTAAGACTACAAGAACAGGTAACCATATATCCCAGACCCTAATTTGGCATTCGCAATATGAGTGTAAAGGAGATGTATCAAGATGTAGATACTTAAATATAGAATATAGTGTGTGTCATTTAGGAGTAGGAGAACCTAAGTACTTCAGTCCTGAGTATCAACCCCGTACAATTTGGTTGACTCTCAGAAATGGAGATCCTCAGGGGACCCTAATTAATAAGACGGTATTAAAATCCGTATATTCTTCAGGTGCTCTGCTATTTGATGCGTGTAAAGCAATATCAAGTGGTAGAAAGCCGTGGAATGTATGTGGGGATCTTAGATGGGAGAGGACGTATGGGTCTAACGATAAATATATTTGTCCCAGTAGTAAAAATAAATATGTAAGTCCAAGATGCCCAAATAGAGATTATAACTTCTGCCCATATTGGTCTTGTGTGGGGTGGGCGACTTGGGGACAGACAGCAGACAAGGACATGATTGTGACTAAGTTGCCTACTAATCCATATTGTAAGTCTATGGAATGCAATCCAATCCATATACTTATAAATAACCCTGACAAGTTCTTAGATAAATATGGTAATTTATTTGGGTTTCAAATATATGGGACGGGTTTAGACCCTGGGACAATATTGTTTATAGGGATAGAGTCTGATACGGTAACCTCCCAAACTCATCAAGTATACCATTCCTTTTATGAAGAGATGAGCATAGATAATAAGATCCCCCATAATGCTAAAAACTTGTTCATTGATTTAGCCGAGAGTATTGCCGGTAGTCTTAATGTTACCAACTGCTATGTGTGTGGAGGTACTAACATGGGAGACCAATGGCCTTGGGAAGCAAAGGAGGTAATGTCCGGTTCTGAGGCAGTTGACCAATTAATATCTACACAAGCCGACTATCATATGAGTGTTAGAGGTAAATCTGAGTGGAGATTGAAGACCTCCATCATAGGTTATGTTTGCATAGCGAGGAAAGGAATGATGTATAATACTTCTGTAGGAGAATTAACTTGTCTAGGGCAAAAGCTTATGATGATGATACAAAGAATACAACTTGGTGGTCGGCTTCAAATGTCTCAGAACCATCTAACCCGTTTGCAAGATATGCCAATTTAAAGGACGTATGGTTTGATCTATCCATCACATCTAACTGGAGAGCCCCAGCGAATTTGTACTGGATCTGTGGTAAGAAGGCCTATTCGGAGTTACCACAGGACTGGGAAGGGGCATGTGTGTTGGGTATGTTAAAACCATCCTTCTTCTTGTTGCCTATTGAAACAGGTGAGACTTTAGGTGTTAAAGTGTATGATGTGAATCATAGGAAGAAAAGGGGACCCATAGAGATAGGTGCCTGGGAAGATAATGAATGGCCTCCCCAGCGTATTATAGATTATTATGGGCCAGCCACGTGGGCAGAGGATGGTACCTTTGGTTATAGAACCCCTATTTATATGCTCAACCGCATTATAAGGTTACAGGCGGTGGTTGAGATCATTACTAACGAGACATCACAAGCGCTCAATCTTCTAGCGAAGCATAATACCAGGATGAGGACAGCAGTTTACCAAAATAGATTAGCCTTGGATTATCTTTTGGCAGTAGAGGGAGGTGTATGTGGGAAGTTTAACCTGAGCAATTGCTGTCTTCAAATAGATGACGAAGGGCAAGCAATAGCTGAGCTTACTAGCCATATGGTTAAACTAGCGCATGTGCCTACTCAGGTATGGAAAGGGTACAATCCAAGTAGTTGGTTTGGTAGCTGGTATGAGTGGTTTGGAGGGCTTAAGGCAGTGGTAGGTGGAGTCCTACTGATTTTAATGTTGTGTCTACTCCTGCCGTGTCTTATACCCTTAGTAGTTAGGTCTGTGCAAAGCCTGATAGAAAATATAGCAGAGAGGAAGGCTGCTGCACAGATAATGGCAATTTATAAATATAAGGCTCTAGATCAGGGAGAACCAATGCAGGAAGACGAGTGTTGAAGATTCACATCATAGGATAAGTCTGGTCTGGTTCAAAGGTAACTTGTGGTGTATGCAAACCAAGGTTAAGTGATGCCTCAAGTAATTGTAAAATATCAAGAGGCATCAAAGGGGGGAATGTGGTGGAATCTCGGTAAAAATAAATTTAGTAGGCCGAGATTACCACGTGGCATGTGTACGTGCATATGCTGACGTATCGATCAGTTGGTTGCACGAGGCAAGATACGATCAGTAGTGTACGGAGCATGTGCAAGAATACAGGATGTAGTATTCCCCTCCTCCATTGTGCTGGACAAGCCATGCGGTCAAGCAGGAAGTTAATTCTTATTTGTAATGATTGGTCAAGAGAATGTGCGGGTGGAGCTTAATATGGGAGGAGTTATGTGCCTATATAGGGAGCCTGCACTATTGTTCAGGGCTCAGAACTTGCTGTATTTTTGGTGACATTAGTCCCTCTGAGTCCCGATCGGTGATCCAATAAAGAATCTCTTCCTTCCTGAAGAAACCTGTGTCCATCCCTCTGTGCTTTGCTTCCGTCAGTTTCTCCGGTATCATTATTGCATAGGCGCGTGCAATAGGTTATTGCAAAAGGCGCGTGTTATTGCATAGGTATGCTCAATGATCCCCGGTGTGATTACCTGCTCACACAATAGAGAAACAGTTTGATATTTTCTGTCTCATTTTTGGCACATCTCTTTATCTGATTGAATCACATTATTAGAATTATTTTTCATTATGTGATTAAAAAAATATATAAACAATTATATTATTATATTATTTTCTCTTGCCTGGGTAACACTGAGGAAAATATCTTACTGTTTTGTGCGTTAATATTTTAGGCATGTATTTTTAAAGTCATATTTCAGGGATACTTGGAGTAACCCTTTTTTCAGATTTTTTTTTTTTAATATATATATGTAATGCCCTATGGGCGCTATCTAATAGGTTTAGAATTTTAATGCAATGAAAAATGCATTAAATAGTTTAAAACTTACATTGATTCCAGTGCCAATCAAGGGTCTTCCACGCCCCGTCCTCATGTCACACTGTGTCACTGACTTCCTTTCCTTGGTCGAACCAAATCCTTATCATAGAGAAGCATTTGATTGGACAGTTCAACTAGCACAGAGCGCGTGGACACACTCTGATCCAGTAAGGAGAGGGAGTGGGGGCAGACAGAAGGAGAGAAAAGTAATCAAAAGCCATTAAAGTAGAGGACTAAATTAAAGCATGGAATGAGAGGAGATGAATGCTCTGCCTGCAAGGAAATTAACATTTTTCAAAGACACCCGTGCCTGGGGTGCAACTAACTCGTGGCACACAAGTACAAATATCTCTGGATGCGCAGCATTTAAAGCAGAAACGGTACACTTACAGACTGTGAAAGCAGAAGTGGTTATGGTGGTTGGAGTAACCTTTTTAAATTTTTCTTTGTTGGCAATAAATAAAATAAAAATCATTTTTGACAGAGTAATTCAAAAAAAGCTTTTTATTTAAAAAAATAAAATAAATAAACTTTGGAGAACACCCCGATGAAATGTTCTATATACTATGCATGCATATTGGGATCTCCAGTATAACTCAGAATATATTATTTAATATATTATTTAATTGGCCACTGGGTGGCAGTATGTGCCAGTATAGGGGCACAGATTTGTAAGTGTATGTGATCTTTTGGTTAAATTCCCAAATTATTTAAAGTCATCGATTACTATAAAGTTAAGTCCAATATTCAGAGAAGCAGCACCTCTAACGTAAAAAAACTAAACAAAAAAAAGCATTTATTTTGTATTTATTGCATTTATCTTATACTGTGGGCAGGTGGCAGGTGGGGGGAGGGGGCAATGACTGATTACCCTGTATTTCATGTGGAATCCCTACAGAGACATACCTAACAACACAGGGAGAAATTAAACAGGACAGGCATGTAACCATGGAAACAGTGTGCCAGTGACTCCCATAGAGACTAAGGCACAGGTCACATACTTGACTGTCAACGGGTTTGCCATCTAACTAACTAGAGCTGAGCTCCCTGCATAGAGAGCATGAAAGCACTTTACTATGAGCAGAAATTCCCTCCAATCAACTCATGCAACTGCTGTCTCTTTAACTGCCTGTGAATGTGGCTCTCTGAGCATCATAGGAGCTATAGTATGGCTCACACTAATGGAAGGCCTAGTCCAGCTGAGCATTATGGGAGCAGCAGTCTGTCTGTTCAGATTGAAAGCCATAGTCTGGCTTACTATTATAGTCTGGCATAGTATTATGTGAACCATTGTCTAATTGAACACCATGTGATCTGTACATTGGATGAGCAACATGGGAGCTGTAGTCTGCCTGAGAACACATTTTGAACCTTACAGAGCACTAATGGATCTTGCCATATGATTAAGATACTTAGTAAGCAATATCTCTCATGCAGGAGGAGTATTTACGCACCTCTCTGGTAGCCAGGGGAGGGGGGTAGGCAGGCAAAGATGAGTATAACTTACCCAAACCTGTCCCTCGCTGGTGCCTCCATCTTCTTCTAACAGGTCACCTTCTGCATGCTGGAGAGTACAGCATTGAGAACGCAAGATCCTCCATAGACACAGCCAATTCCCTGCAGCCTTCACTGATGACAACTAAGGAGATTGACACTTGTAGCTTCACCCATTGTCTAGAAGTGTCTAATTTAGGAAATTCTGAGACAAAGTAGTCCCTATATTGCCTCAGTATGACTCTTGATTTCAGTGAAATTCCAAAACAGTTAATATGAGTATTTCATAAAGATTTTATATTTATGAAATACTAATTTTGTGGATAGCTCTTGCCATAAGGGGGTACAGATGTCCTGCTCTACCTGCTGGTCCATAAGGGAACACTCAAGTGTCCAGTAACATCTACACACAATGTTACATGTATCACTGTGCCCTTGTTCAGAGACAGAGTTAGATCTTGGGGCCCTAGGTAGGTTATTATAGCCTCCCATCAATTTTTCAGATAGAGATGGTAAATGGGGCCAGCAAATTCATGGTTAAAGAGTCCATGTCTAACCTCTGGACCCTAGGTGGCTGCCCAAACACATCTTATTGTTAATCCTGTTCTGCCATTGTTACCCAAACACTGCCACCCATTCCAACAATTCATGCGAACATTCTGACGAGAGTTTGTGATGGTATGAATTGTCATGATAATTCCTGGCCATACATCCAATCATGCCATTCTGGGGAAAGTGCCAAGCTGGATGTTAACACATTCTATAACAATGATGTGGGCGAAGGGCAGACTTCAAGCAGAGCGCAGGAGAATGCAGCCAATTTTATTAAAATAGATAACAATAAACTCCTCTTGTTTTGAGACAATTTATGCAGCTACACAGTGCGTCTAATTGTCAGCCTCTATGAAGTTGGAAGAATGAAGCAGATGTAGGATAAAAACTAGGATTTTAATCATCCTTTGCGAAGGAAGTGAAGGCGCATAATATATTGAGTCATACAGGGTACGGGATGCAGGGTCCTCAGATTGCGAAGCTCCAGCTGTGAATGTCTCTAGGTTTACGTATTTCAATTCGTATTTCTGGGAAGAAATATCTAAAGAAAGCTCATGGAGAGAAAGACAGGGAGATAAGATTGGGAGATGACGTGAATGACAGCCAATTACCTAAATTCTTTTATATATATATATTCCTAGAGCATATTTATAGGAATTGCAATTCTTACACATACTATTATTTGCAAACAAGCCGATACTGAAACCCCTTTAGAAAAGCCGCAGAGAGTTCCCAAAATAAGAGAATTATCCTTTATACAGTGACCTGTGATGAACTGACAAATGAGTAGCAATTAACATCCATTACAGCCTGGTGGAGTTTACCTGTCTGTTGATTTACGTTTACAATGCTGAGATTTACTAGCATCCTGAGAATAATGGGATTAAGCTTTGGCGTCAGCATTAAAGGGACACTCCACTGGCCAAACAAAAATAAATAGATTAAAATAATTAAATAGTAAAAACAACTGTTTTGTAGATATTCCTTAAATAAAAACATGTATGCATTATGCATTTTTTCATTGGGGGTATATCTTAAAACAGCTTGCAAAAACCCCCCAGGGAATATGAGAATTCTGAGAATGGGCAAAAGCTTAGAGGAACTCAGTAGCTTGCCCTCCCGTTAGCCCTCGTTTAGATCTCAAAACTGTCTTTGATCACTTTTGCCATTACAAAGAGTACCTACACTATTTGCACATCAGACTGATCCCACCATAAGGACATTCCGGAACCGAAATGCCAGCAAGTTATTTCTGCACGAGAGATACAGCCTCCCGGACAATCATTCCGGTCTTCTTCAGTCTTATATGCAAATCAGTGCTCTTCACCCCTCTACCCAACAGTCCAGGATTTAGGAATTACCCAGGTGTGTCCAAGATGTTTAAATAAAAAACTAAAAAACACCCTAGACTCTAAGGTATTTTTTTCTTTCTTTTTCCAAACACCTTAGACACACCCAGGTAATCCCTAAATCCTGGACTGTTAGGTGTGCCTTGAGGAGAGTGTTGCGGAGCACTGATGCAAATGATATAGGTTCTCTTTGTAATGGCAAAACTGAGCAAAAACATTTGAGACATGAATGGGGATTAACGGAATGGAAAGCTACTGAGTTTCTCTAAGCTTTTGCCCGTTCTCTGGGTTTTCATATTCTCTTTTTCCTAACTTGCAAAAGCTTCAGATCTCTTGTCTGCAGTCTTTGCAAGCCCTCCCCTTCTAACCCCGCCCAGGCTTTCTGAGGCTGTCCAATCACAGACATCTCATTGCAGCTCAATGAGAAGTCTTTGAAAGGCAGGTGCTCTGAGAAATTGGTTCAATTCAAGGTTGAATTCAAACAAGATTACTTACTAACGTGAGAATTCAAAGTGAATTTTTTAAAAAAGGCCAGAGTAGGTGAGTGGAAAGCATAGCTGAATTTTTCCAGTTCGACTTTTTTGACCTTAAATTAAATTTCACCTCAGATTCTCACTTTAGTGAATAACTCTGTTAGTTCATTTGAGATATTAAAGGGACTCTCCAGTGCCAGGAAAACAAACCATTTTCATGGCTCTGCAGGTCCCCTCTCCCTCCCACCCCCCATCCCAACCTTTTTAGTGACTTACCTGTATCCAGGGCTCGCCCACGCTCCTCCCCCGCCGACGTCATCTGACAGGGGAGACCTATTGCGCATGCATGGCTGCCGGCGGGGGAGACCTAAAGCGCATGCGCGGCAATGCCACACACGCGCAATAGACCTCCCCATAGGAAAGCATTGAAAAATGCTTTCAATGCTTTCCTATGGGGATTTTAGCAACGCTTGAGGTCGTCACATAGCGTGAGGACATCCTGCGACGTTATAGCACACTTTTCATGTGCTATAAACCCGGAAGTGTGGAGGAGTTAACCCTGCAAGGTAATTATTGCAGTTTATAAAAAACTGCAATAATTACACTTGCAGGGTTAAGGGTAGTGGAAGTTGGCACCCAAACCACTCCAATGGACAGAAGTGGTCTGGGTGCCTGGAGTGTCCCTTTAATATAACATAGTCATACTGCAAATACAGCAGACTTGGAGATTGTTTTCCATCTTGTTTGTTTTGCATCAATGAGACAACGTGATCTGGGTGCCTATAATGTCCCCTAAAGGCCAAAGTAGCTTACGTTAAAAGCATAGCCGATATACCAAATGTTTCCAATTTGGTTATTTTGATCTTAAAGTTAACATTCACATAGGTTTATTTACTTCATTATTTAATGAATAAGGGGCGTTATTGTCACATTTAAAATAAAAAGTTTAGCCCCATCTTTATTCTAAGTATATTATAAATGTATCTTTTTTTTAATCATTTGTCAATTGGATGGGATATTTTGATGATGGGGTGCCCATCCAGCTGTTAGACTACAATTCCCACAATTCTCTGCCAGAATAACCACAGCTAGATATCTGTGCTATAAAGAGAAACATACTAACATGTTTTATTATTAACCTTTTTACCTAAAAAACTCAGTTTCCGAATCCAGAAAATACAGAAATGTCTACTAACGTTTGAAATAAACAGAGAGGGACACTTTAATTTCCAGGGGTGAGGGGGGGGTCCAGGGGCAGAGCAGTTTTAAGAAATGTTAGGTCACAATTAGTAACAATTTATGGATGCGGTTTAGTACAAATGAGATGTGTCCTATTTACACAGACTGATTTCTTAACACATTTATTGTATATGCGAGTAACACCAACAAAATGGAACTCCTAGAAAAGAGGGACATTGGGATAGAAAAGAAGGACAGAGGGATTTGGACTCAAAATAGGGACTGTCCCTCCTAAATAGGGACATTTAAAAAAAAACTCCCTGAACTAAACCTCTAGAGGGCAGCCTGCAAACATGGACGAGATCCTGCTGCTATTACAGCCGAGTTTATACAATGAACTGGAAATTGAAGAGAATTGACATACTGTATGCCAAAATAGATGATCTACAAAAAAACTGATTTGGAGAATGTTTTTATGTTATTGTTTATAAAGTGCCAATAGATTCCACATGTTAGAGGGAGTGGGGTATAGTGACACAGTAACAGAGGGGTTGAGGGCCCTGCTCAATGAGCTTACATGCTAGAGGGAGTGGAGTATAGTGACCAGGGCCGGCACTCCCTATAGGCCAACTAGGCGGCCGCCTACGGCGCTGATCAAGAGGGGGGCGCCGGCAGTAGCTCTAATGCTAGTCCCTCTATGAGAGACTAATTCTATATTGTGTGCTGCAGGTCATGCCACCGGGCGCTAGTGAGCACCTACATAGATGCAGACTAGCGCCCGGTGGCATAAACCTCCACACGCAACTACCACAGAGAGCCGACCTCCCACCCATTGAAAAAGCCGGGGCAGCGCAAGGGCGCATTGCTCGATCGCTCCCACCCCTTGCCTGTACTCGGGGTCAAATGGGCGGGAGAATAGCGGAGGTGGAGCTTAGTGTGAGTGTCAGTCAACACAAGTAATTTTATGTCTGCTTGAGTCAGTATGTGTGTGTCACTCTGCATGAGTCAGTGAATGTGTGTGTGCATTGGTCACAAATTGTGATTGTGTGGACCACTGAGTGTGAATGAGTGTGTGTGAGGGTGTGTATGTATGTATCAGTGATTGCATTTGGGCAGAAAGAACCATTTTATAATTTTTTTTTTTTAAATCAATAGTTTTAAAAGAACACAATAGTGTTAGGAATATAAACCTGTCCCTACTTAGATTGAAATCCTCACCACTCCCTTCCCCCCTACACCATAAAATGATTTTCTTTAAAAAGAAAAGAAAAAGGGAGGGGGGGGGGATTTACTTTTATTTACATTTTTCAAGCCCAAGACTCCCTCTGCAATGCTTGCCTCCTTACCTCGCTTAATGTCACTGATGGGACAACACTGGTCCAATCCAATGTTCCTCATGCAGGAGCACTGGGGACCTGATGCGCATAAGTGGCAAGCTCTATACACTTCCATCCGCAGATGTGCCTCTATTGGCTGTCAGTGTGACAGCTACTAGAGGCATGTTTAACCCTTCAAGGTAAGTCAATCTTTTATTTTGTCGGGTTAAACCTACATGACCACTGAGGAGTGAATGGGCAGCAAATTTTCTTTTTGCCTAGGGCGTCAAAAATCCTTGCACCGGCCCTGATAGTGACACAGTAACAGAGGGATTGGGGGCCCTGCTCAGTGAGGTTACATGCTAGAGGGAGTGGAGTATAGGGACACAGTAACAGAGGGCCTGCTCAGTGAGCTTACATACTAGAGGGAGTGGGGTATAGTGACACAGTAACAGAGGGATTGAGGGCCCTGCTCAGTGAGTTTACATGTTAGAGGGAGTGGGGTATAGTGACACAGTAACAGAGGGATTGAGGGCCCTGCTCAGTGAGTTTACGTGTTAGAGGGAGTGGGGTACAGTGACACAGTAACAGAGGGATTGAGGGCCTGCTCAGTGAGTTTGTTACATAACAGTTAGAGGGAGTGGGATATAGTGACAGTAACAGAGGGATTGAGGCCCTGCTCAGTGAGCTTACATGTTGAGGGAGTGGGGTATGGTGACACAGTAACAGAGGGATTAAGGACCCTGCTCAGTGAGTTTACATGTTAGAGGGAGTGGGGTATAGTGACACAGTAACAGAGGGATTGAGGCCCTGCTCAGTGAGTTTACATGTTAGAGGGAGTGGGGTATAGTGACACAGTAACAGAGGGATCGAGGGCCTGCTCAGTGAGTTTACATGTTAGAGGGAGTGGGGTATAGTGACACAGTAACAGAGGGATCGAGGGCCCTGCTCAGTGAGGTTACATGTTAGAGGGAGTGGGATATAGTGACACAGTAACAGAGGGATCGAGGGCCCTGCTCAGTGAGGTTACATGTTAGAGGGAGTGGGGGTATAGTGACACAGTAACAGAGGGATTGAGGCCCTGCTCAGTGAGTTTACATGTTAGAGGGAGTGGGGTATAGTGACACAGTAACAGAGGGATTGAGGGCCCTGCTCAGTGAGTTTACATGCTAAATGGAGGGGGGTTAAAGTGACACACAAGTTAAGGGTAGGGTAGAAAACTAGGTTGCTAGAATAGTATTCACTGAGGGCTTGAGTAGTTTTTATTTCAGTTGCAGGAGAGGAATCAGTGTGCAAGGAGGGAAAGCTATTAACAGTTTAATTGATACCCTTTCCTGAAGAACTGAGTTTTCAATGATTTTTATCTTTAACCTGATTATTTTTTCAGTGTGTCCCTGTTTAATGAATGACCCCCAATGACCGTCACTGGTTGCTACCTAGAACACTCTTTGCTTTGCAGGATAGAATGTATTAACAGATTCTCTCACCTTTGCACTGCTGGTAGTTTGCTGAAATTACTCAGTCTTCCTGAGAGAAAACATGCAGAGAAAAATGACAATCAACGCTAGTGTTTAAAGCAGAGCAATGCATTAATGAACGTGGTGTCGTGCAAAGGTGGATTTAACATTTAAGGGCAAAATAGCCAAACTGGAATCATAGTTAATAACTGGAATTATTCCTGCTTGACTGCTTTGGCCTAAAATTTCAGATTTAATTGGAATTCACTTGGTATTCCTGCAAGGACGCACACTTTAATGAATAACTTTGTTTATTTTACTGTAACCATGCTAGATAGGAAACAGTAACTGCGGCTCATATGTTTCGTTTCATAATCTATCCACGTGCCTAATGAAGGCCTATTGATCTTATTGATCCTTGTAGATACCAGCATGCACTGGGTGTATTTGCATTTCAGCCTTTGAATTATTGAGAGATCTTGCTTGTTTATTGGCAGGCTGCTACTCATTAACTAAGGTAAAACATATTTATATTTTTATATTACTGGAAGAATGCAATAATGTTATATAAAGAGAAAGTTTATTTTATTAGATAAATGTGCCTTAACTGAAATAAGGAATAGTACTGGAGCTTTATATACAACTTAGGATAGCTAGGTAACTTGCCTGGATGATCCTCAGTGGTCTGGGGTGCAGGCTTCAAACCTGTAGCTGTTTAACAACAGAGTGGTTCAATTCCACCTTCCAGGCGTTCACAGGATGTGGTAACACTGAAGGCACACCTATATCATTAGGAATACAAGCTTGTATTCCTAATGTTATATTGTCCCCCTGCCTACCAACATTAAAAGGGTCAAAAACTCTTTTTAACATCTCATTCAATGTCAGCAATGAGGAGACCCAACATGCATGGCCATGCACATCAAGCCGCCCCCTGAGGAAAGCATTGAATCAATGTCTTCCAATGGGGAATTCGAAGACATTGAACAACCCCCAACCAAAGCATGAGGATCTCCAGCATCATGGAAGCACCCACAGTGAGGCAGACCCAAGGGGACACCATAGGCTCCCAGACCTCTTCAGCTAATTGAAGTGGTTTAGTTGCAGTGTCCCTGTCAGTTTAACCCTACAATTGTAATTACTGCAGTTATTGAGAAACTGCAATAATTACTATCCAGGGTTAACTCTACCTCTAGTGGCTGTCTATATGCATTTTAGGTCCCCCGACTTCAGCCAACATTGGGGAAGGAAGACATCGGCGCTGACTTCAGGTAAGAGACAAAAGGGTTCTGCACTGCGGAGGGGAATAACACGAGCAATGGGGGCACTATAGGGAGCAATTTTGTATTCCTAGCCTGTAGTTTTCATTTAACTTTGCAGTTTAAACACTGCACCCAGACCACCTCAATGAGACGAAGTGGTCTGGGTGCCTAAAGTGTCCCTTTAAAGCAACAGTATTTTAGAAATTATAGATTGTGGCAGTTGGGAAGTCTTACTTTCATACAGCCCATTTTTTCACAGTAAACTCTGATTAGAAAAGTTCCCTCCTCATTGGGATTGTGTGTGGAAGGCACGATGACATATTCTCCTGAATTCACGAGAGTGCGTAACACCACTCCCCGGCTATTTTGAGGATCCCCAGTGTCACAAACTGGACGACTCCGCGTGAAAAACCCACGGTCCAGCCGAGGACGCAAAGACTAGAACAATGACAGCAAAATGTTATTATGTATTTATGTGCTCAGTCTGTGTCTCTCTGGGAGTCCAATGGGGTGAAGGATAAACTCTCAAGGCATTACAAAGGCACACTATAAGCACCAAATAATCTTCAGCTTAATGAAGCAGTGTTGGTGTATATATCATGTTCCTGCAGTCTCACTGCTCATTTCTCTGCCACTTAACAGTTAAATCACTGTTGCCTCTGTTTATGGTACCTAAAGGCCACAGTAGGTATTTTCATGACATTAGACATGTGTGCAGGAATTCTCTTTTATAAAAGTTGGACAGGAGTTCTTCTCTGCAGTACCCATGCATAGACAGAGACATTTTATCTGCATTGTATGAAGGCCCTGGTCAGGAGATAACATGGAAAGAGACCTGAGTCTGTAGTGTTGGTCAGGACTTTGACAAATCTTTCAATATCCACATATATATTGTATCAGAAGCAGAATATACTATGTAGGCAGCCTTAGTGCTAGAGATATATTGTCCTAAAGTGTTATTCTATTAACCTTAGTGTCATACTGAAATATACACCCCTGCGTGTGGGTCCTGCCTGGTGGAATACAGAATCCTACGTATCTGTGTTACTGTCAATACATTGTCTTCCATAAAGGTATTCTGGGTAATACTCACAAGGCTCTCTGGTACCTATAATAAATGAAACATAATTTATTGTTAGAAACAGAAAGTAATAATGAAATCTATAAACGTCACCAAAAAAAAGGATACAACACTTTCAGTAATATATCAATATAAAATCTACAGTTTGCAAATTGATTGTATAAATGATTTATACCATTGCACGGCTCTGTGAAATACGTTTCTGCTATATAAAAAATAACTTACAAAACATAGAAACTTGCCTTGTACAGGTGACATGCTATGTGAAACCTATCTCTCCTAGGGTCAGTCTGAAGCAGTTGTAGAAGGATTTGACGACCCTTTATCCCATCCTCTTCTTGGGAAGTGTAAGTCTCCTCCCCCTGCGCTGGATCCACCTTCTGGTCAGGGCTGGAAACTTCATCAATGTGCAGCCGGAACTGTGGATTGTTGAAGAAGGATTCTGACCAATAGAGAAGTTGGGATAAGTGGAACTTTATACCATAAATTCCCATATTGAAGGGCACATGAACGCAAATTAAAGCAACATTGTTACGTTGCAGGTTTTGCTTTTAAATGAATCCTTTTTTTAGTCCCATTGTTTCTCTGTTTTATTTTTAGTGTATTTTCTCTTTGTACCCTATTTAGTTATACATTAGATAAAGAAAAGACTACCTTTTCTGATGTTGTTGGTGGGATCTCTGGAAATGTCAAGGTCTTAAAGGACAACCGTCACCTCAGAACAATTTATTAATATAAGAATCCTTCCATCAAGTTGTGAAAGGAAATAGATTTTTTTTATAGGAAGTATATGTAGAAAACTAATCCCTGTCTGACGGGATCCTTCAGCCATATACATGCACCTTTAGTCGGACAGTGCTTGAAAACCAACAGTTAGTCTCTATCGTCTTCCCTGCTTTACTCCCAGCACCTAGTGTTTGAAATCCAACAGTTAGTCTCTATAGTCTTTTCTGCTTCACTCCCTGCACCTAGTGTTTGAAAACCAAGTTAGTCTTTATGGTCTTCCCTGCTTCACTCCCAGCATCTAGTGTTTGAAATCCAACAGTTAGTTTCTATGGTCTTCCCTGCTTTACTCCCAGCACCTAGTGTTTGAAATCCAACAGTTAATCTCTATAGTCTTTTCTGCTTTACTCCCAGCACCTAGTGTTTGAAAACCAACAGTTAGTCTCTATGGTCTTCCCTGCTTCACTCCCAGCATCTAGTGTTTGAAATCCAACAGTTAGTTTCTATGGTCTTCCCTGCTTCACTCCCAGCACCTAGTGTTTGAAATCCAACAGTTAGTCTCTATGGTCTTCCCTGCTTCACTCCCTGCACCTAGTGTTTGAAAACCAAGTTTGTCTCTAAGGTCTTCCCTGCTTCACTCCCTGCACCTTGTGTTTGAAATCCAACTGTTAGTCTCTATGGTCTTCCCTGCTTCACTCCCTGCACCTTGTGTTTGAAATCCAACTGTTAGTCTCTATGGTCTTCCCTGCTTCACTCCCTGCGCCTAGTGTTTGAAAACCAACAGTTAGTCTCTATGGTCTTCCCTGCTTCATTCTCTGCGCCTAGTGTTTGAAATCCAACTGTTAGTCTCTATGGTCTTCCCTGCTTCACTCCTTGCACCTAGTGTTTGAAAACCAACAGTTAGTCTCTATTGTCTTCTCTGCTTCACTCCCTGCACCTAGTGTTTGAAGTCCAACAGTTAGTCTCTATGGTCTTCCCTGCTTCATTCCTTGCACCCAGTGTTTGAAATCCAACAGTTAGTCTCTATGGTCTTCCCTGCTTTATTCTCTGCACCTAGTGTTTGAAAACCAACAGTAAGTCTCTATGGTCTTCCCTGCTTCACTTCCAGCACAGAAGCAGGGAAGGCCATAGGGTCTAACTGTGAGACAATTTCCGTTACTATGCTAATTTACCAAATCTATATCAGTCAAAAAAAATCCACAGAAGGGCAAAATGGCGGACCTATGTTTTGAAATCTGGGTCAACAAAGAAGAGAAAATAAATTAAGGCAAGTTATGGGGGAAGTATAATCATAATAAAATAAGGGCATAATGACAGGATTACTAAAACAAAACAAAAAACAACATGGCAAGGCCGCTTTAAATCTGTGAAGAATAGACTGTAAGCTCGTTTGAGCAGGGTCCTCACCAATCTATTGTTCCTGTAACATTTTGTAATTGTCTCCTTTATTATTACATTTCCCCTATATAATAAAGCAAAGCACTGCGGAATGCGTTGACGCTACATAAAAAACAATAATAATAATAACACATACATTATGCAAGGCACCCTCAGTCTGTGGTCATAAAGTCGTCATGTTAATGTATTTTGTTTTACAAGAGGTATACTCACTGAGTCTTCGACCTCCTCCTGCACTGACCCCACTCTCCCAGCGTCCACTCAGATTAGTGACACTCCAACAAGAAGAATCTAAATTGATTCTGCAGAGGACGAGGAGGGTAAAGATTTTGCAGAAGTCCTTGCACAGCATCCTGTGTGTGACATGCAGAACATTATACAGAGAACATATGGAAGTCACAACATTCATATCACACATGAAGAAAATGGAGAGTGTATTTCTGAGTGGTTAAAAGAATACTCTAGGTATTGATGATCTAAGCATTTCTCAAATAACATGCACTGTGATAGATTAATACAGGGTCTAGGTGCAGTGTCTCTCTCAGTTTAACCATACATACAGAAAGGATGCTATGGACATGAAAGCTTTACTCCCTGCACCTTGTGTATGAAATCCAACTGTTAGTCTCTATGGTCTTCCCTGCTTCACTCCCTGCTGTCATGGTCTGTGCTAAGACAATATGTAAAGTCCAAATATTACCAAAACTCCCCGTCTTCCTTCTGTACGTTTAACTCTTTCCTCTCTTTCTCTGACACAGTTTCCCAATCCAAAGAACTGCAAACAAAAAATATATTAAGAGCAAGGAATCTTGATCCATCGGAAAACATTCTCACTTATTGAGACAGCATTCTTGCTCAAAGGGAGAACAGTCTCATTCATTGGTAAAACAGTCTCACTCATTGGGAGAGTAGTCTCCGTTAGTGGAGATCAGGGTCACTAATTTGGTGAATACTCTCAGTGGGAGAGCAGTCTCACGAGTTCTATCTTGTTTAGGGAAAGCCTCACTCAATAGGTAAAAGCTCCACCCATCATAGAACAGTGTTAGAACTTGGTACCATTGATCATTATCTAAAGTCATCCCTCTCGAATGGTTCACTCGGACAAATCTGCCATATAGGAAAACAGCATTGCTAGTTCCAGAATAGTCGGTCACTCTCTATCATTCATACCGATCACTCCAAGCTCCTTTGTACTCAGTAAAACCCCATGGATTCCTCAGATGTAGAAGAAGGACTTCTCCCAACCTGGACTGCACCTTGGGAATGAGAAAGAATGAATGGGGCAAGAAGGAAGAGGAAGGGATGGCAATATAGAAATACAGATTTGGTTTTTAGAGATTAGAGAGAAGGGGTAGGAAGTGTTCACTCACTTTCTTGGCTCCAATCACTGAGTATGCATGTCCTAATACTAAACCTTCGTCGTTAATTCTTCCAATGTCACTGGGCTCTGATACCTAGAGAGAGATTATGCTATTAGTAAATACAGATTATATGCAGCATGTCTATGCAGGGTTAGTGCATGGTGCTGTGTCAGTATGTCAGAATTTAGTGCTTGTAGTTAGACAGCTTTGAGCGATTGGCACAAAGTTTAAATATGCATGTAATTCAGAACAAGGTGTGATTAGATGATACATCACCTCTATATAGCAACCCATCAGAGCCTTGTCTCCTTCTGATTGGTTAACCAGCTCCCAGATTTCCTCCACACTTTGCCTGGTCACATTGACACTTTCGGCTACACCCCCAGTAAAATCCTCCAGCGCCTCTGGAATAGCTCCCCCTTGAAGTGCCGAATATCCCCCGCACACCCTGTGTATGGAGACACCATATTAATACTGTACTTTTGAATACTCTCCATTTGAAAATGGTTCACTAGGAGTTAAAGTAGAAAAGTGGCTCCTAGCCCACAGGTTACCCCCATAGGTGTATCTAGGGAAGGGCTTGGTGGTTGAAGCCCCAGATTGGGGCTCTTTAGTCCTGGATATCCACAGATGGCGGATATATTACAGGTTTTTTTTTTTTTTTTTATTTTAAATCAGGCAGCTGCTTATTAAGACAGCCACCTATTATAAAAAGAATGATTAGTAGTAAACTGCTCTGGCAGGGAGTTGGTGATGTGCCCCAGGTGATTGTCTGGAAGGGGTGCTGGGGAATAGAATTTTACTACACAGCCCTCTATTAGTTAGGAAGCATGGCAGGATGGCATTAAATACCTGACTGCACAGCATGTGCTTGTATCCTGCTATGCTCTCATGGAGATCTGTAATAAGCATGCTGTTTATGGGTTTAAAGGAGGGACATGACATAGAAAGGGAGGGGGGAGATGATATCTCCTAACATATCTCTGTCTCTCTCTATCTCTCTTTCTGTGTGATAGTCTTCGGGTATTCCTTTGGGCTCAAGCCAAAGGTGTTTATAGAACCTAACAACACCCCTGGTTGGTACCTAAAATGCTGCTTTCTGATGGTTCCTGTTGGCTGAAATGGATGCAGGTTCTATGCAACTGCTCACAAAAACCAATCGCTGTAATGAAAATGCCTTCTATAGTGCAATGCAGGCTCCAAAGGCTGCTGAGGCATTTTTTAGAGTTAGTAAAAAAGTTCAAAACCACAGTTTTTCCAATACAAGTTGTTTGTCATTTAACATGGACATTTAATGGCTTAATAGATGTGTATCTGTGGATTGCTGGTTTGTTGTCTCACTTTGCGTAGGCTTTCTCCAGAAGTGTGCTCCACATCTCCCCCCGAGTGTCACTTTTGGTGTACAGAAGTCGACCTCCTTTTGTTGGGAGTTTGTCATCCACAACAACATCGACCCACTCACCAAATCTCCACAACTACAGAGACAAGATGAGAACATTTATCAACCAAATAATGAAATGAGCTGGGTTTACAAAATGTATAAACAAAAAGCCAAGGCTGACAAAAAAAAATAAAAAAATACATCTCTAATTCATCAGATTTCTTCGCCCAACAATGTTATATCCATCAAAAATGTATACTGGTCAATATATCCCCCCCTTCTACACGCACTAGGAAAACTACAATGTTCAATCAGAACACACAATCTACATGGCAGCTGGGGTATGCACTGGGCACCAACAATCAGTGTGTTTTTAAAATTGTTATTTTTCCAGTTCCCAACTTTTCATAACCCAGTATGAATTATTACAAGAACAGAGATAAAGTATCAAATATTAGAGAATCTACGTTGTATATCTAATATTAGATGGAAGGTTCGCAGGGTACGGCATTGGGGAGACTTTGTTGAAGAACCATATGCTGTCTCCTCCACACAATGTGGCTTTATTATACTGCCAAACCTGAAATGCCCTTACTTTAAAGTGGAAGATACCGCAGTAGCCTCCACTGGGGCAGAAAGTCTGATCCTCAGGGACCACGCGAGACAGTAGGGTTGGATGGAGCGTGAGTGACGATATGGCGGCGAGAAGCCAGCAGTCACCTAGGGGGAGGGAGATATCACATGAAGAGAGTGGATTTTTTTGTGGTATTCAAAGATACTCTTCCCACTCCCAGGAGTACAGTATTGTTAAATAATTTTGGAATATTATGGAGACAATATTAAGTTTTGAAAAAGACTCGGAGGAAGAGTTACATTTGCCACTTGCAGAGAAGTTGGGCTATGTTCGCAAATGGAACAATTACTCTGGAAACTAATGGGGAAAGCAGGAACAATACGTGGTTTCCATAGTGATTGCTTCACTCGTAGACGGTTTTTCCATTCATGTATGCAAAGACTTTTTGAATCTCCCAAAGAACCTTTCAAAGTCAGCTCTGAGAATATTTGTTGTTTCAGAAAAAAAAGAGAAAAAGTCAAAACTGAAAGTTATTGACAGTCTTTACAGAATCCCCCAAAATGGCAATCAATTAATTTATCAATCAATCAATCAATAAACTTTTCTATAATTAAATGCAGACCATACGATTGAAGGGTGGTTCGAGCAGACATTTTCACCTTTTGGTTCTGTCAACAATGTTTTATTTATTAATTTAGCAGCTGTAAAGCTCCCCAGAACATATTGGCGCTATGTATATGATATTATTATTATTAATTTATTATTTATATAGCGCCATCAGATTCCGTAGCGCTGTACAATAGGATATCACCTGAATAAATGTAATTTCGCATATCACGCTAACATGTTTAATAGCAGTTGTACAATTTGCTTAGTATTTTAGCATTTACCTAGTTGCCCCTGACAAATATCGGTGGACCTTGCTCCACTATCGATAAATTTTGGGTTTTGGCAGAACTCCTGCAGAAATAAAAAGACATGATTGACATTTTGCCCATTAAGTAGCTCATCCCTTGTTCTTTAATCAGTGCTTCCATTGACTTCTAACCATGCCAGTTTACTTTTCTGTCTTTAACAAATTGTATTGCGCTGGCTAAATCCACAGCATTCTGCTTTCTTGTACTCACAGGTGGTCGTTTCCATTTAACGTCCGGGTCAGAGTTTATATAAGAGAATTCAGGATCCGTGAACAGTTGTCCCTTCTCCAGGCAAGAGGCACGGAGTGACTGGTAGCACTGCCCAGCAAACATCCTGGAGAGATACATTTCATAGGACAGCAAGCACACAGGTATGAAAGGTACAGTTATGAGTCTCCATTGCAGAACCCTGTCTTGTTGTACAGTTTGTATCAAATAGTGGAATATTATTCACTGACCAGTCCTGTGCCCACCTCAACTCCCTCTCACTCTTCCTTTCAAACCTACTAAGAGACTTTAGCTTCTACAAATAAAATAAATAACTGAGATCTTTAGCATTCTCTCAAAATTAAATGTGTAGACAACTATATGATTAAAGTAAGTATTTATGGAATTTATTTAAAAAAGAAAAAACAATTGTGACTAAATGATATGATTTAGGCCGGATGGAACTACTTTTACAATTTGACTTTGAGAAATTCTAGTCAGAATAGAAGCAGTAAGTATAATTCCCTGGGTATCAATCAATGTACCGCACTGCGGAATCTGTTGGCGCTTTATAAATAATAATAACATATGCACTTATCTTTTTTTCATTTTCTGTTTTTTTTTTCTAAGCAAAATGAGTCCTCTCGGAGCAACAACGCTCTACTACTGCATTCAACTACAGCATCTCATGCGCTTTGAGTAATACTTGTTTAGTTATAAATAACGTATATGTTGCTGTGCAACTGACAGACAGACATAGATCGACAGACAGACAGACATATAGGTGACTTGTCTGTCTGTCTTAATGTAAACACTGTGATTGATTACACTGATTGCCACTGTGTAAGTGTATATGAATCACAGGTGGATGCTGGTACAGTGACAGGGATTAAATATTATTTTTATTTATAAACCACTCACAATTTGCAGTACAACGTATTTCCCAACAGGCGATTATGATATGAGGTGTAGAAGGAGCCAGATTAAAAGGATATCAGTCATATAATTTTATGATAATGAGATATTTTCTTTAGCAGACAGAGAGACAGATATAGATTTGCACATACCTTCCTTTATGAGTGTCAGTTTCCCAGTACATAGAATATAATATGCATATATATCTATATAAATACTTACTAATATAAATATGTTTTACTGTTTATACATGCTCTGCCCTTATGTATTCAAGGATCAAGTGTTACGGATGTGGAGGGGTAAGGCCAGTCCCTAGGGTGCCACCCAAAATAGGGATTTATTTACTAAACAGTGAGTCAAGAGGAGTAGCGATGTAAGCCAAAAAAATCTTTATGGTTAAAATCCGTCCACTGTTCACAGTTCACAGTTTATCGAATCAATCCAATGTATTATTACCTATCTATGTGAGATGGGTAAAAGCTAATTGGGACAGTTGCAGATATTTCTATTGTTTTGAGGTAAATGTAGGAATTTATTTCTGAACTTAGACTTGGAAGAACTGAAAAGTGAGGGGTACGTTGCAATATATTGTTTGATAATTACCAGCACAGCAACGACTGTAGATGAGCTATAGTCATAGTGATCATGGTCTCACCATGTGATCCTTTTTAAGAGCCGTTTAATCATTATATGTTCAGTATGAAGAGTTAGATACCCGAATAGTTTAGGCAGTCGAAACTTAATTAATCAAAATCCTCCTGAAGGTGATTTATCAACACGTTAACGGAACCATTGGATACTTAGCAAATTGATAAAGGACTTGATAAACAACAGAAATCACTTTTCAATCAATTTAAACAAAGCCCATAATAAAATAGCAATGTGTTTGCCCATGGACACCAAAATTATCTTGCATAATAAAATATATAAACAGGTGCATTTGTATATAGTCCCAGGTATACCAGTTAGATTAACCTTTAAGAAACATGCATATATATTAATTACGACAATATGAACAGATTAAAGGACCACTATAGTCACCCAGACCACTTCAGCTTAATGAGGTGGTCTGGGTACCAGGTCCAGCTAGGTTTAACCCTTTCAGAGAAACTGCTATGTTTATAAATGGGTTAATCCAGCCTCTAGTGGCTGTCTCATTGACAGCCGCTAGAGGCGCTTCCGCGCTTCTCACTGTGATTTTCACAGTAAGAAGACGCCAGCGTCCATAGGAAAGCATTGTGAATGCTTTCCTATGAACTGGCTGAATGCGCGCGCAGCTCCTGCTGCGCATGCGCATTCAGCCGAAGAGGAGGAGAGGAGGAGGAGAGCTCCCCGCCCGGAGCTGGAGAAAGAGGTTTTACCCCTTCCTCTCCATCCAGCCCGGCGGGAGTATGTTTTCCTGGCACTATAGTGGTCCTTTAACACCACTACTCCTCTATAACATGGGTCAAATAGGCAGGTCAGAACTTTCCAAAATGCATCCATTTTGTTTTATGTTAACCTAACAATCTTGGTGCATCAACCTTGAGAATCTATGATTAACGACGATGACTGGAACTAAACTTGGTTTTGACCAAAAACTTTGTAGTTTGCTTTGGTTAGTCCACACTCAGGTCTCATACACATTGTAACTCAGTTTTTTTCCATTCTCAGCTGTCTTAGAGTTTATTTGGTTTCTTTGTGTATAAATAGCAGCTTGCTAAGAGTAAGTCAAACCAGTAATCCATATGAAGGGACTTTCCTCACTGAACCTAGATCTCTCATGTAGAAGCGATCTGCTAGCATTTTGGTTCTGGATGTCAGTTGTGACTGGGATTGGTGTGATATACATATCGAATAGGTTCCCTGTAAAATGTGAGCAAAAACATGTTTGAAACCTAAGATGGGACTAACGTATGACTGCCATAATTTCTCTTTGTCTCCAGAGTCACTCATCAGGCTACATCTTTCCTTACTGACTGATTACACCCATTCTGGAAAACATCTTCTAGTCGACATTCCCTATATAGCCCGAGGTAATTTTTTTAAAGGATAATTATTTCTAGATACTATTTCACATAGTTTAGGAGGCTGAAAAGACACATACGTCTATTAAGTCCAGCCTATGCACATCTGTTTTTGCTGTTGATTCAAAAGAAGGCAAAAAACCCCAGTTTGAAGTGCTTCCAATTTTGCAACAAACTAGGGGGGGAGAAATCCGTTTTGACCCCAGACTAGCAGTCAGATATCTCCTTGGATCAAGAAGCTATTACCCTACTAATTAAAAATGAAATCTCTGAATATTATGTTTTAGCAACTATTCATTGAATTGCTGTTTATGGATCTGTGTAGACTCTGATAAAACCACCTCTTCAGGCAGAGAATTCAACATTCTTATAGTTCTTACTGTAAAAAAAACAACTTAATTTGACATAGACTTAATCTCCTTTCTTCCAGTCTAAATTTGTGACCTTGTGTTTTATGTATAGTCCTGTTTGTGAATAGATTCCCAGACAGATTCGTACTGGCCCCGAATATATTTGTACAATACTATCACATCCCCTCTGAGGCGCCATTCTTCTAAAATAAAGAGATTTAAATTTGTTAACATTTCTTCATAAGTAAAATGTTCCATTCGGTTTATAAATTTTGGAGCCCACCTCTGCACTTTTTAGAACAGGTACCAAAAATTGCACAGCATATTCAAGGTGTGGTCTTGTCTGTGATTTCAAAGAGACAACATTATATTTTCATCTTGTGCATGACAGTACCTTACTGGCCTTAGTAACTGCCGATTGACATTGCATATTGTTGTTAGTTTGTTGTCTTTACCAATTCCCAAATCCCTCTCAGGTGTTGTTATCTCTAATTTACTCTCATTTAGGGTATAAGGTGCTTGTGCATTCTTTACCTTAAAGGACCAAGCTAGGCACCCAGACCACTTCAGCTTAATGAAGTGGTCTGGGTGCCAGGTCCTTCTAGGGTTAACCCATTTTTTAATAAACATAGCAGTTTCAGAGAAACTGCTATGTTTATCAATGGGTTAAGCCTTCCTCCAAATCCTCTAGTGGCTGTCTCATTGACAGCCGCTAGAGGCGCTTGCGTGCTTCTCACTGTGAAAATCACAGTGAGAGCACGCAAGCGTCCATAGGAAAGCATTATGAATGCTTTCCTATGCGACCGGCTGAATGCGCGCACAGCTCTTGCCGCGCGTGCGCATTCAGCCAACGGGGCGGATCGGAGGAGGAGAGGAGGCAGAGAGCTCCCCGCCCAGCACTGGAAAAAGATAAGTTTTTCCCCCTTTTCCCCTTCCAGAGCCGGGCGGGAGGGGATCCCTGAGGGTGAGGACACCCTCAGGGCACTATAGTGCCAGGAAAACGAGTATGTTTTCCTGGCACTATAGTGGTCCTTTAAGGTGGATAAACTTTCATTTTTGTACATTAAATTTCATCTGCCTTTTGCGTGCCCAGTCCCCCAATCTAGCTAAATCCCTCTGCAACAAAGCAATATCCTGCTCACATTGTATTAATTTATAGTTTTGTGTCAAATGCAAACACTGAAACATGGCTTCCAATGCCTATTTCCAGATAATTTATAAATATGTTAAATAAAAGCAGTCACAGAACCCTAAGGGATACCACTTACCACTTTTGTCCTACTTGAAAATGTACCATTAATGACAACTTTCTTTACTTTATCTTTAAGCCAATGTTCTACCCAAGAACAAGAATTTTCATCTAGGCCAATTTCTTTTAGTTTGAAGACTAATCTATTGTGAAACCGTATCTAACACCTTGGCTAAATCCAAGTAGATCACATCCACTGCAACACCCAGATCCAGTGGCGTACATACTAGGGTCGCACCCCTGCGACCCGGTATGTAGCCACAGGGCCAGCCTCTTCTCCTGGGGGGCCCAGGAGCCAGCCACCTCAGGGCCCCCCGAGGCTGGCCCTGCTGACCCCAGTGGGCGGGCTGTTTGGGTGGCCGGTGCGCGAGGGAGCACTCTCCCCTCAGTGCTTCCTCTTCCGCTCCCTCGGGCGCCGCACTGATACCGGAGCCGGACGATGACGTCATCTTCCGGCTCCGGCATCCCTACTCGGCGCGCGAGGGAGCTGAAGAGGAAGCACTGAGGGGAAAGTGCTCCCTCGCGCGCCAGCCACCCAAACAGCCGCCCGCCCGCCCAGGAGCCCAGCAGCAGCACCACTGGACCCTAGGGAATCCCCCCAGCACCCCAAAAGGTAAGGAGGCTGGGGGGATTCAATTTAAAAAAAAAACATGTATTAGTGTGTGTTAGTGTGTGTGTGTGTTAGTGTATTAGTGTGTGTATGTTAGTGTGTGTGTGTGTGTTAGTGTGTGTGTTAGTGTGTGTGTTAGTGTGTGTGTAAGTGTTAGTGTGTCTGTTATTGGGTGTGTCTGTTATTGGGTGTGTCTGTTATTGGGTGTGTCTGTTACTGAGTGTGTCTGTTACTGAGTGTGTCTGATGTCTGTTAGTGAGTGTGTGTTTGTCAGTGAAAGTGTATGTTTTGTAAGTGAGTGTGTATGTATGTGTCGCTGAGTGTGTCTCTGTTAGTAAATGTGTGTGTCTGTTTGCTAGTGTGTATGCGTCTGTTCGTGAGAGTGTGTGTCTTCAGCATTTACCTTCCTCCAGCGCCGGACTTCCTTGGCGCTGGGGATCCCGCCGCCTCTCAGCTCCGAATGCACATGCGCAGCAAGAGGCGCGCTTGCGCATTTAAACCGCCCATAGGAAAGCATTACTCAATGCTTTCCTATGGACGTTCAGTGTCTTCTCACTGTGATTTTCACAGTGAGAATGGCGGAATCTCCTCTAGCGGCTGTCAATGAGACAGCCACCAGAGGCTGGATTAACCCTCAGTGAAACATAGTCCTTTCTCTGAAACAGCTGCAGGGTTAAAACTAGAGGGACCTGGCACCCAGACCACTTCATTGAGCTAATGTGATCTGGGTGTCTGTAGTGGTCCTTTAGATGTGTGTGCAGTGTACTGCATTTGTGGGGTCGCAGCCCTGCGACCAGGTGCCCGCCGCCATGTGTTGCGGCCCCGACGCGCGCCGAGTAAGCTGGCTTACTCGGCGCGGGAGGGGGGCCCACCGATCAATTTTTGCACCGGGGCCCCATGGGTCATGTGTACGCCACCGCCCAGATCTATACTTCTACTTACTTCTTTGTTGAATGCAATTAAGGTAGTTTGACACGACCTATGTTTCATAAAACCATGCTGATTATTGCTGATAACAGTATTCGTCTCAGTGAATTCCTGCCTATTATCCCTTTAAATACTTTCCCAGCCACAGAAGTTGAGGTCTATATTTTCCAAGTAAAGACTTTGAACACTTTTTGAATACTTTAAACCCTCTTTAATCCTATTATTATGGACCAGTCATAGAAACCAGATAGATATTTCTTTATCAGCTGCATCAGATTTTAAAGTAATTGAATACATTTTCCATGTCATTACATTTATTATTTTTACCTTTATTTCATTATATTTATTATTTTTGATGAATCTATGGGAGGCAAACCATATGACACAATCTATTCACCTTTATATTTAGCTAGGAAACGCAAGATATTTTCTATCTTCTAGATCTGTCATGTAGGCAGTTCTGGATTTGACTTGACATGGAAGTCTTGCAAATAATATTTTATGGACCATATTCCTCTCGGCACAAACAGTTTCTGGAGCCAAGTGGTATATTATCATGAAGATCTTTTTGCAAAATTCTATTTAGAACGTCTAACAAGACAGTGAACAGAGGGTCCCATAATAGTGGGATGAAAAGGGTCTTCTGTGTTCTAAAAGCACCATAACCGTGACGTTCATATTTTCATAGATTTTGAATATATATTTATAAGAGGATTGTACTGATAAACCACTAATCTCATGCACAATTGCACATCAATACTCAAACTCAGCAATTTGAAATAAGAAAACAGTTTTATTATTATAATACCAGAAAAAACAGAAAATTAACTAAATGAAATAATATGTGAATTCTCATTGTAACCTTTCTCATTTATTAATCCCTGGACAAGGCAATCCATTTCACCATAGAAACGGAGAGGGATTCCACCTTTGAATATGGTATGAATGAAGGGAGGAGTGATGGGAGTGGTAGTTGGTTGTCCTTATTCGTGCTGAATTGAAAGACTGGAAACGATACTAATGAAGCGAGCAGTCGATTGGTAATCTTTAATTTTGTTTGACTCCTGTTTTTTTCTGTGGAACCTGAACACTGTAAAAATAAACAAAACATGTTATTTATTTAATAACAAAACTTTATAGTAAATTGCCAGAACTAAAGAGCAACTTGTTCATTTGTAAATTGAATGAAAAAGGGGATTGCTCATTTTGGACTTTACTAGTGCAATTCACCAGGTCATCTATTTTGGACTAACATTTTTAATTTCCCTTTACATGGGTCACCACAACAACTGCAGCTTATTGCATTCATTCTGGTGAATAGAATCATTCCCTTTAGGTTTTTTGCAGTAAACACTGTCTTTTCAGAGAAAATGCAGTGTTTACATTACAGCTTAGAGATAACTACACTAGCCACTGCTCAGATGGCTGCTAGAGGTGCTTCCTGGGGCAGTCCTGATTGAGTCAATGCATCTCTATGAGGAGATGCTGATTGGCTAGAGCTTTGTTTGGCTTGTGCTGGCTCTGCCCCTGATCTGCCTCCTTTGCAGTATCAGCCAATCATATGGGAAAGCATTGTGATTAGCTCCGAGAATCACTTCTGATGATGTCAGCCTAGCAAGCAGATCAAGGGCAGAGCCAGCAGCTGCAGACTGGAATAAAAGTAAGCTTTTGCTTATTTTAGGAGGACACAGGCAGAGACGGGGGCTAGATAGTTGTTTTAACACTATAAGGTTAGGAATACATGTTCCTGACCCTATAGTGTTCCTTTAAATTTCAGTTGTCCACAGTCCCTGGCATAGTGAATCTTTCGACTGATTAATTTATTTGTGTTTTCATCTTATTTAATTTATATTGCTCCAGGAAAACGGCATTAAGTAGCAAGGGAGAGGTGACATAATGTTCCTATGTGAGTATTCTGAACACAAATCATGATCTGAATTCTAATTATATTCTGGCTGAAAGAAAACACAAACTTCCCAGATAGAATTCTGCTCCACTATTTCATTCTTTCAAACTAATAATCTGGGATTTATTCTTCTCCTATCGCTATAGATCTACTTACTGAATGTCTCTATAATGCAGACCCTCTCATAACGCTTATATCCACATTTCAACTTTTAGTGTTCATAGAAAAACTCTTCAAATTTGGGATTACTCACATATAACAAAACTATTATAGTTTAATTTAATTTAATTATTTTGCTTTATACACTGATCAGCCAGAACATTAAAACTACTGACATGTGAAGTGATTAACATTATTATATTGTCACAATGGCACCTGTCAAGGGGTGGGATATATGAGGAAGCATATGAACTGTCAGTTCTTGAATTTCACTTGCTGGATGCAGAAAAATGGGCAAGGGAAAAGATCTGAGTGACTCTGACAAGGGCTAAATAGTGATGGCTAGGTGACTGGATCCGATCATCTCCAAATCGCCAAGTCTTTTGGAGTGTTCCAGGTATATAATGGTTTGGACCCAGGGCCGGACTGGGAAAAAAATTAGGCCCGGGCATTTTTCAATTAGAGCGGCCCCCCAAGAAGGGGGCGGGGCCAGAGAGGGTGTGTTTTGCCATCACTAATGACAAGCACGCCCCCTCTCAAAGTGAGCATGTTGGTTCAATGTGCAGAACCCCGCTGAAGAGCTCTGGCTTTAGAAAAAGGCCCTGTATTTGTTCTGCGCAGCGCAAGCAAATGTAATAACATGCTTGCACTGTGTTTGCTTTTAAATTGTCTCTGGTGTCTCCACAAGTGGGATACCAGAGGACAAAAGGACCAGGAAAGTGTATGGTGCATGTGTTTGGCGCCTGCTTGTGGGATTGCCTGTGTGTAGAGTGTGGTGTGGTATTGTGTAAATAGGTGTAATATGTGTGGTGTAATATGTGTGGCTATGGGCTGTAGAGAGTGTGTGTATAGGGGCATAGTGTTATAGGGGATGTAGCGAGTGTGTGCATACGGGCGGTAGTGTGTGTGTGTATAGGTGATGTAGTGTGTGTAGGGGTTGTAGAGAGGGTGTGTTTAGAGAATGTTGTATGTGTTTCCTTACAAGGAATGTAGTATGTGTGTAGGTGGTGCACTGTGTGTGTGTAAGAGATCTAGTGTGTAAAGGACCCAGAGTGTGTATAGAAGATTGTGTGTGTGTGTGCAGAGGATTAAGAGTGCATTTAGGGTAAGGGATCTAGCGTGTATCTGGAGCGTAATGTGTGTAGTGGTGCAGTGTGAGGGGTGCTGTAGTGTGTGTGTGTATATATATATATATATATATATATGTAAAAACAAAAAATGAAAATTGATTCCTGCACTCACGCTGAATTTTCCCTTCACGACCGGGTGCCAACCATATATAGCCCAAAAATATAAAAATATAAATTAATGGTTGCACTCACGGTTTTTCCAAATAAAAGTCCAAAGTTTATTGTCAATTCATAAAAGCTGCGATCAACGTTTCAGTCCCACCAAGAGGACTTTCATCAGGATCATATGATCCTGATGAAAGTCCTCTTGGTGGGACTG